AGCTTCGTAGTCTCGAGCTGATGGTGGTCGATAGGCAATTCGAAAGAGTACTCGTAGGTGCCGGGATAAAATATTTTGTATGTCTTCTGCTGCACGATATTTGGGTTGGGCGTGTCGCCCTTACCGAAGCTACGAGACTGCACAGACTGAAGCGATAATCGCTTGTAATCACGGGCTGTTAGGTGACCGGCAGGCCTATTCTTCAAGGCTAAAGAAATTGTCGACTGGGAGGGAGATGCGCCCCGGCGACCGGCAGCGTACTCGGCGTTCCCCCGAATCGAATACGTGCACTGATTCCCAAACTCGGTCTCTCCCGTCTCGTGCGCGGCGTGGAAGAAGGCCAGCACCTGAGTCCTAAGCGATTCTTCCTCGAACTGATCAACTTTCATCGGCGGGATACCCTCCGGCCATTCCGTCCTGGCTCTGCCGTGAAGCTTGAGGGTTACGGACTTTATCTTCACATTCTTGGATACGTTCAGCTGTAGCTTACCCCTCAGCAGCGCCGTAGAATTAGCAGCGTCGTTCCGAGGCTGGCCGTCGTGCTCGAACCCGGTAAGAAAGACGTTCGGCTCCGCTAGGATTATAGAACACGAAACTCCGCTTCCGCTTGCAACGGGTTTTGGCACTTCGGCTACCGAGCTCATTATGCTTTTGGCTGAACGCACCGATATTATGCTATTTCGATGCGAAGCATGAGAGGGCGTCGCCAGCATTGGCGACTGAGAGGGGGCCGGCATGGTAGAGGTTCCCAGCATCGAAGGTGCTGTGGCGGAAGAAGGAAACACGAACATGGATTGCGGTCGAACACGAAGATTACTAGGTGTGCACGGTCTCGGGGCTGGTCTCGAATTGCTAGAGGCGCTAGGAAGCGTAGGATTGTCCACAGCCACGTACTGCGAGAAGTGGAGCTTTAAAGGTCCCAATACCCTCTCAATTACACGCCGCGGTGAGCTTTTATATGCGGATGCGTCGTCCTTATTTGCCTCCGCTCTGTTGCTCTTCTCCTTCCTAAATTTAGACGACTTGGACTTGACAAAAGGGGGCGGTCTTAAGTCGGGGGGTGTATAGCCGGCGGGATAGGATACGATGTGGATAGACTGAGGTCGACGTTGGCGTGGTCGGATATGCGGGGTGGGTAGGCTCGGAGTTGGGCGGTGTCTTCGATCTGAAGACCTCGGCCTATAGTAGACGTTCCCAGCTACGGGGTATGCGTATTGTTCCGGGCGATCTAGGCCGCTTACGTCTGCCATGACGATACTGTTAGGAATAAACAACTAAAAAATATTTGGTCGCCAAGAATGCACAAGGGGGAGCGAACGGGTCTCCCGTCGTCTACTTGTTGAGTCGGATACGTGCTCAAGATATGCTTAGCAGCTTAGCAGCTTAGCAGCTTAGCAAGGCGCATGCCAGGCCAGCGGGGGATTGCACGACGCGGACGAACGGGATAGCTCCGAATCATGCGGCGACAACTTGTGCTAAGCAGGGGTGCGTGTGATGGTAGAATTAGATGTTGATAGGCATCGTAGGTTAGGCGTGGCCAAGGCAAAAGTAGGCCACAGGGCTAAAGAAAAATAAAATCAAGGGAAATTAAGCAGACTGAAAAGAGCAGTATGATGATATTGAAGAGGAAGGAGGGTAGAACCTACGACAAGGTGAATCATAACTAAGTCATGATCGATACTGGGGGGGGGGGAGACCCAACTGTAAGCAATAGGCAATAGGCAATATGTGATAGGCAGTAAGTGATAGGCAGTAAGTGATGGGCAGTAAGTGATGGGCAGGGCTAGATGGCTGGCCAGGCCGCTGAATAGAACAGAGACAAAAAAGTAAATAGCCGCTTAGAAGGAAACACTTTGGGTTGGAAAGTCTAGGATGTGCTGCGAACCATGCGAACCATACGCACGTTGTGTCCCCGCCTAATGCGTGTAAGAGGTAGGTAGGTAGGTAGGTAGGTATGTAATAAGAAAGTAGGTAGTATCTGACTTAGTATCTGACTGGAACGCAACGGCGAGAAAGAAACGTTTGCAGCGAGAGTACCTACCTAGGTTAATCTGAAGACTACATGTATCAGGACTGTACAATACAAAATACAAATGCGGGTGAATTAGGGCGGGCTCGATGCGGTCAAGGAGGTAAGTATGATGTGGTCGGCTGGGTGTTGAGCAATTATTGGGGGTAGGATGTCGACATTATTCGTTAGATTTGTTTCCCGTCTGTCGGTGAGAGTGGGTGGGATGGCTAGGTATTAGAATATACCGAATATAATACCCTTTTGACAGTTTGATGCGATGTTGAGAAAAGGTTGGTTGACCAGGTTGATCAGGTTGATCAGGTTTAGTGGCAGATGACGGTATGTCACTAATTGTCACTAATTAGACGCTAAAGATGGGCGCTAACTACCACGATGAGTTCCTTATGATGTATTGCTCCCAATGTATTACTCCCAAGGGTAAGCCCCTGCTAATGCTGCTTACACTAATACCAGTAGGGTTAAGCCCAGAAATCGTTGAAGACTAGTCCTGCCAGCATATACCTACCTATGTATGCAGTGACCGCGGCGCTGTCGGCATTTGCCTAGGTACGTACCTACATATATGATCTACTACATGGTACCTACCTATTGAACCTATGCAGATTCCAAATTCCAAATGCTTACATGTATTGAATATAGGAAACTCACCAGTACATCATTTAACTCGGAAAGACACCTTTTTCATGTGTCAACTCACAAGTCATAACCGACAAGTCGAAAATATAGATGACCACGCTCTCATGACAAGTATTCATGATGATTTCATACTCTTTCAGATAAAATAAAGTAAATGCGACAGCTCGATTGCATCCTTGTCTCGCCTAGGTTCATCCCAAATGCTCATCCCCAATGCTCATCCCAAATCAGGAATTCGTGGAGGGGCCAATATTTCAATTTTGATACCAGTCAATCATGTGAGCGTTCAGATACAGATCCCCACGTCACAAGCAAGCAAGCCGCGGACCAGTAGATGGCGATTATGTGGGAAGATCCCTGTTAAAAGGATGTGCAGTACCGCACGTACAGTACCGTAGCCGACAGCTTTCGGTATAGGTTAGGCAGCTAGTATATTGAAGTCTTGTATGTAGTTCTTCACAGGGAACCTAATTCAGACAAGGCGAGCCGGAAACGATATAGGCATATCCGGTTCTAGTCCGAGAGGCCAAGTCACACCGCATACATATGAAGATGAGCCGGACTCGTCCGTCATGACTTGATGTTGGAAGTTGGAGATTTCAGAAACCGGTCAAAAAGGCAAGGCGAGGAAAGGCAAGGCAAGGCAAGACAGACGCTATGATATCCGTCTCATCCGATCAATACGCTAGACTAGACGAATATTCTACGGTATTTAGAACATGAGAAATGCCGTGTGTTCCCCGAATTTCCGGGTCGGTAGATTGCAGCCATCTAAAAAGCAAAAACACCGGAGAACCAGTCTAGCCTTATAATGTATAGCCTCATAATATACCTACATAGAACCATTTCGCTATTTTCTTTATGGTTCGACGATTCTCAGCCCGCTCAACTTTAATTTGAACTGACTCATGCGTCTGCGCGACATTCTAGATTGGGTAGCATAGATGCGGAACGTTCGGCAGCTCGCGAGGCTTCATAGCCTGCTTTGTCGTCATCACCAACAATCACCGACAATCGGGATGCCGGGAGTGGTACTGAGCGCTGACATGCAGCCCAACGCCTTAATATCGGATTCCCGCATTAAGATGAGTCTCGGAAATCTTCTAGGTTAACAGGTACCTACCTACCCCTTACCTGTGTACCTCCTAAGCCACCCAATGACAAGATTCGTTCGGTATTTATTAGTAAAGGGAGCGTAATTTATTTAACCTGACTCCGAACCCCGTATGCCTTAATTTATATAACAAACCTGCTTCCATGTAAAAAGTCATGTAAGACATGATCAAAAATGTTGCCTGCTAAGACACCGATCACATCGATCACATCGATCATATCGATCAGGTCGTACCGCTTCTTGCAATGCTGTTCTAGCACCAGACCAAGTCTTCCGACTATACCCCGGTATGCCACCTGGGTTAGTTTAGGTAGCAACTGTTCATACAACTGTTCATAGAGTCTTTTTAAAGCCTTTTTAAGCCAGGCCCACAACTCTACCAAAGCCAACAACCGCGGTCAGGGAACGTGTAACTTCTTATTCAGTAGTTCTAAAACAGGGTGGGTGTCTTACCTTTGGTAATTGGATAATCGCTGAAGCTAGAATGACTTGTAAGTCTTCTGTTGCTCAAAAATATCAACATTAGCGTAGACGTTAGTTATGCTTTTGATTTACCCGCCACAGTTAACTTTTATATACATATACTCACGGATGCCAAAGAAGGTGTGAGCATACCTATCCCATTAAGCACGGATTAACCATAAGCTAAGAGTCTTGTAGATTACGGATCAATAGGTACTGCAGAGGGAAGTGTATTATTTTTTTTTTCAAACTTCCCAATACTATCCTTGTAAAAACATAGCAACTATTATTAATAAAACTCTGCTACATTATCTGCCCAAGACATCATGTTCGCTATAGAACACGCATGAGATTGCGAAAATGATATGATTCCATCCTAAAGAAAGATCCTTAAAAATATAAGCAGTTTAACTAGTTATGTGCAAGTATTATACGTACGTACCGTATCAGTTATTATAAGAGGCATAACTACCTAGATTATCCTCCTATCGCTTGTTGCATATTACACACAAGTCAAAGACAAATCCCCTCGATTCTCAAGCAATTGACTCCGTGTTATTCGGAGGAAGGTACTTACCTTACGGGAGTGCTTTCTTGGTGTTCTCAGGTAATATAAAACACTACATATATATTCGAGGGAGTACAAGTTCAAAGCTTAGTTTATGCCTATCCTTTAGAACAAGTTGCCGCGTAAGGGCAAAATTAAGCACATGGTAAAAGTAGCTTCAAGGCTCGTAAAATAGTTGCAGATTGTAGGTGTAAGTTAATATCATTCTTAGATACGGTAGGTAACCAAATCTATTCTAAACCCCTTACACCGGTATGTAAATAGAGCGATGCCAAACCAAACCACAATATACCCGATCTTGAAAGATAGTTGCTTTCTCTGCCAGGCTATGAAGCAACACGACACTGTGTCGTGGATATTCAATTAAGAGTCGAGGCTGTTCATGTACAAGCAGTCTGGTCCGCCTTCGGTGGACTCAGTAGAGCCGAGCGATCCAATAAACTCGCAAAGTTCTCCCTGGATGAAGTTTATACCGTGGCAGAACCAGTAGTCACTGTCCTGCCTCTCGCTCAGCTCGCCACGTTTAGCCTTCTCGAAAGATCCGGTGCAGGCATAGTAGCAGGACTTCATACTGTCGTTCTCCGGTCGGATCAAGGTCTGAGAGGCGACGGCGGGGATGCACTTGGTGTTGCACCTAACTTGACTCTGGGGGTCAGGGATGTAAGGAGGGGAATGGCAGAGAGAGTTTAAGTCTGGGTATCCCGTTGTTTGGGTAGGGGCGTCGCAATGAGCTCCGGTTGATTCAGACCCCGTCACAGGTGTCGGCAAGTCATCTCGCTTCAGCACGGCACCTCCTGCTGCAGCGGTGCTGGCCAGTAGGCAAAGGCCAAACCAAAACGAGGTGCTGTTGCTTCGGAGCATTTTGTTTGATTTGATCTGATTAGGTTTGATGTTGATTAGATGTTGATGAAGCGATTGTGAGTAATAAAACGAGAGTTGTCTGTTTTGTTAGTGAAGAATTGCAATTTTTCAAGCGAAGACTTGTGGAACTTATATATCATCAACTACTGTCTGAATCTTATGACACGCTAGGAGGCTTTGAAGATCTCGGCCGTTAACATCCTCACAAGGAACCGTCGATGGATCTACAAACAATAGATAATACCTACTGGTTCTCTGATTGGTTATCCTCTGCGAGCTGTTATAAAACAGCCTATATGTATAACCCGCAGTTCGCCAATTCATGCGCAACCCAAAAATCCTTCGGTTATCGGCAAGGTCATACACAACTGGCAGAGGCGATCAATGAAAGCGGTGCCAAGCAAGTTGGAGCTACATAAAACATACATAGCCCCAATCGTCCAGCTTCTAGGTAGGGTAATGCAATATGGCGATGAACCAGTAAGCTACTAGGCTAGCTACCTCACAACAATGTCTTTACTTACGGAGGTTTCATCTCTTGAATGGAGTGCAACGTTGCGGCTAAGTATATGAACCTGCCACTCTCGTACGTAGAAAGGGGTCTGTACTCCTACTGAGGCTCGCGGGACAAGGACATACAAGCTACTATAGTCGTGTCATATATTCCTATTGGTGCCTCACGGCGAGGTTATGGCATCAAAACATCGTATAGCTAAGACCAAGGCTTAAACCAGTATACGACGAGCTTGGCGTAAGCTATATACATTGACCTCTATAGTAACATCTCAGCCGACGCTATCACCGAACCGGGTATGCATTGGACGCGTATACGACGGGATACGTCGAAAGAGATACCATCAAAATTTATAGCATGTTGTTTGTCCGGTCTAAGAATAGATCTCTACTAAGGTTGCATTTTGATAGAACTCTAGGGAAGCAAATTAATAATTATAGAGGTCTTGTCGTATTACGGACGAAGAATAGTTTACTGGGTTAGCTGTAATAGCAATCGTGTTTCTAACAATCTTGATCCTTTGCTAATTCTAGAAATATTCAAGCCGTATCTGTGCTGCATCCGTGCCACATCTAGCCACATTCTTATTGGGCAGCTTAAGTTGTGAATCGTATAATCTTCAACCACCACCACCACCATCATCATCATCATCATCATTTTTGCCCTTTATGTGTATCCTTCCCGTTGATGTCTCTGCGGCCGTGACTCGTTGAAAGGTCAATGTCGTCTGCGCCGTCGAGCCATTGCTCCATCTTCTCGTATAACTCCAACCGTGGTACATCTAATGACCCAGATTCCGGATTTTGAATAGTTGGAAGAGAAGGGTCGATATCGTGCCCGAGTGTGCTTTGAGCTGCACCAAGATATTTATACCCTTCCGGGTACCTGTCGAGAGCATCCTTAGGGAAGCCTGGACAAGCCTTGCCGTCGACAGGAACAAGTTTGTCTTTCTCGTATATCAGCTTGACGTACTTAACCTTCCAGGCATTGGTGTCCGAGTCACGAAAACAGAAGAAATGAAATCGACAGTCGCAGTCCACGTCGAATATGACCGGTTCGATTCCTACACTGCTGTTCTCCCCGATCTGAAATCGTTGGGTTATAGTTGCCTTCATCTTGCCAACTGCTCGGAGCGTCGACAAGTTGAGTTCTACAAGAGTGCCGCATTCGCGATGCATGATGAAGTCGCCGTTTGACTTTCCCTCTTTTGACTTTTGGATAAAGCTGTCAATGGGCTGACGCTTACTCCACGCTGGACGAGACAAATTAGCCTTGGTATGCCCCTACAGTCTTAATATCAAGAGGCGGTTACTAACTCGTCCAGACGCACGCGTCATCAGAGAAAAGGGAGCGAAAGTTCTTCCACTCCGATGCGTCGCGATATATGGGCCAGCCCTTGCACAATTCGGCCACAGCTAATCTAGTTAGGATGTCGCTCTCTCTACCGTTTATGTGAGAATAAACTTTGGCCTGAGGATCTTCTGGAGTAGTCATTTTTAAGAGTATTTTATAGTGCCCAAGATAGAAAGATGATAGAGGGGGATATATAGGTAGGTATAACTATAGATATATAGATAAGTGTAATTTAATTATGTCGTGATATGACCGAGAGCAAGATACAGAGGTTCTCTTTTTTTTTAACTGCTACTCTGGCTAGACACTCCTAGGCATGTAGGTGAGATATCGCAACCTTTAATATAGCCTGTCTATCATTCCGTGCGCCTCGTGGCAAAATCATTTTCTTCGCCAAACCCGGAGATATGCGAAAGCCTGTCCTCGCCCGAAGAGGCGTTCTGCTTGTTACGGCTCGCACGGGAGGTCGTCAGGCCTGTAATACTAGCCTCGCCAGTGACCGGCGATGTTACGGCAACTAGCCGCCAGCGTACTCATCATGACTGGAGAGTCTGATCTAGGTGTCTACAATAATAGACGTAGTAGTACCTAGAAGCAATGATTGTATTTATTCGCCTACCTAGGTAGATAGGAAGTTAAGTTCTGGTTAGCCACCGAAAGAATGGCATGGATGGGACTCAACTATATTAGCCTTACAGAGCTAGTTAATAGCCCTACTGAATATCTCTAATACGGCCTCTTCAGATGTACTAGAATTTAAGAGAAGAGCGGAAATATACTCAGGTCCATTGCAAAACAAAGATGCGCTTCGTGCCGTCTCACCGGTCGGTCTGGGCACTGGGTAAAGACTGGATAGATAGGTAGGCATGTAAATTGCAAACAGGAGAATCCCCCAGGACGATACACCGACACATGTTTCGTGGTAAACGCATCCGCCACACCGGCAGGCCGCGTCGAAGAGGCCTGCATGAGATCAAGATCGATTTTTCATCCGACGGGTCTATCGATCATGGTTGAAGCGTCCCCGTCCCGTATAACTTTTCAATCTCATGCCAGCGACACCTGCTCTGCTAGGAAATCCATGTTTGCTGGTGAGGCATTCCACGGTGTCTCTGTACGGTCCCGTTCGCTCGGTAGCTCGCATATAGATTGCATCTTCCACGGGATAGCGTAAACGGTATCCCGAGAGATGTTATACTTGAGTTCGGCAACCTATCATCTCTTCGACATAGGCGAGATCCTTGATAGCGATTTTTGATAGCAACGGTAATGTAGCATCCCGAGAATTGTTTAGGATTTTTTGGGAAGAAAATTAGGTAGGGAATTTCCTTGCGCCGACTCGGTATTTTCATGTGTTGAATTACCATGTTCCGTTTAATATGTCGAACGGATGAAGGCGGGATTTCTTTAGTCTTTACTATATTTTTTTTACTTTTTATTTATTATTATTAAATGTACGTTCTTTAATCCCCTTAATCCCTAAATACCTATATTTGGTAAGATTGCTTGCCAGGGAGAATCCTGTAGGTTACTATGTAGTTAGGCTATTCATAGTGCCGGGAGTTTGGTGAGAATCATACCCACCCTTGCCACTTACATGGGACAAATGTAACAAGGGCCCTTGCATATATCCCTGCATATGCCAAGTATTTGGACTCCGATTACATTTCCATGGGGAGATAATACCATAGTTATAAATTATGACGTTACTTAGGTACATAGTATATCATGATCAAATTTATCTAAGATGGCAACGTGATATTATCTATAAATATATGTCTTATAGAGGTAGCTGTGAAGACTTCAATATACATATGTACCTACGTAGGTACCTAGGTAGCATATACATGAACTACATATACAACTACATACGTACCTTAGGTATGTAGGTTAGGTACATTCAATTACATGTACATATGACGGGAGTCGGGTATTACTAAACCGCTTTGGACTTAGAGTCAAGCTATCAGATCCGGTCCGGGCCGGCATTGTGCCTACGGCATCTATGATATGTAAGCAATGTAAGCAAGGATGGAAGCCTCTATGTATCAATTGTAAGAATAGGTAAGCGCGAGTAAGTCCGAGATCAACTTGTAACCTTAATAACCTTATCTATCGATCTCCGACACATGGCCGGAAATAGGCGGTTCATACCTGATACATGATACCTGATACCTGATACATACATGTAATCGACATAGGTAATGCGTGTATGATCCTTCTTTGTTCTCACGGTGATCCTTGTAAGACACGCTTCTCCCAGAAAAGAAATGGAAAAGAGGCAGGTAAACTTCTTGCCTCCCCTGTAACTAAGAACTTACCAATCACTTAGTTATGCGGTATCTACGATGTGGGATGTGGGCATCTAAGATCATGTTTCTAATCTTTTCTGGCCTCTGATGATGAGAGACGGTCCTCTCAAATTTGTTAGCGCCGAAAAATTATTTCTCTTTTTCTTTGTCTTCTTTCTTCTTAGTTATTATTTTTCCTCTTTTCACATTCCGAGAGATTTCAGATCTCTCTCGTACGTCCGAATTTGTGTACTGGATTTGTGTACTGGATTTTGCGACAGGTCAGTCCTAGGGATCACACCGGGACTCGTCAATCTCTTAAGCACGTCAACCTTGGGACGCCACTAAATTCACCCAACGGGATTCCCAACGGGGATGGTGGTTAGCGGACACGGTGGTATTAGCTCTAGTGCTTCTAGCGCCACGGCGGTGCCTGTTACAAACCAAGAGAATATTATTATGGACGAACCGGTAGGGCTGCCGCGTTATGGCGCGGTGCCGTCACAGCCTGGCATACAGCCTGGCAGGGCTTCCGATCCGGATGGCTCGTTCCTGATTAGCCAGGCCGGAACCCTGTCCCCGATGCAAGACGACTCCTGGACGAGTAGCGATGAAAAGGACAGCGGTGACAGGAGGATGGGTGAGCAGGTAGAAGAAGAAAAGGGTACCAAAAGTCGAGACTTGGCGAGGACCAGCACGAACCTGTCTATCGCCGAAACGCTTTCCTTGCCTCGGGAAATCCTATTCGTCTTTGTCATATGCCTTGCGCAACTCTTCACGCGTAAGTCCCTCGCTTACACTGCGGTGAGCGGTGAAATCCACGACTTAATTCTTGCCCCAGCTAATGATCGTATGTAAAGAGTGTGGCCTCGGTCAAACCATAAGCATCATTCACACAATCGGTGAACATTTCGGCATCACGAATCCTGGAGAGCTAAGTTGGTTCATGGCCGGCTACAGCTTAACCGTAGGCACATTCATCCTCTTCTCGGGAAGGCTAGGCGATGTCTTCGGTCATAAAAACCTATATCTTATCGGTATGGGTTGGTATTCCATCTGGAGCGTAGTTTGTGGGCTCTCTGTCTACTCGAATCACGTCCTTTTTATATTCGCCCGTGTCCTACAGGGAATCGGTCCCGCTATCATCCTTCCGAACGGATTGGCTATCCTTGGTATCACGTACGCCCCCGGCCGGCGCAAGGAGATGGTATTCGCTATTTTTGGAGCAATGGCACCGACCGGTTCTGTCATCGGCTCGCTATTTGCAGCTATACTCGCTCTCGCCTGGTGGCCTTGGGCATTCTGGGCATTTGGCATCGTTCTCGCCGCAACTGTTGTCGTAGGCTACTACGTTATCCCGGAAGCTTCGAATAGACATCATGCCCAGCCCAAAGGCTTGAAGAATACGCTGCGAGAGCTCGATCTTGTAGGGACAGCCCTCGGTGTGGGTGGTCTCGTCCTCGTCAATTTTGCGTGGAACCAGGCCCCCGTTGTAGGCTGGGAGAAGCCTTACGTTTATGTTTTGCTCATCGTCGGATTACTATTACTTGCCGCGTTCTTCGTATTCGAACTAAAGTTCGCCCAATACCCTCTCATCCCTTTCAACGCCTTCTCCTACGAAGTATCCTTTGTCCTGGGTGCTATAGCATGTGGGTGGTCTTGCTTCGGCATCTGGTTTTTCTACTCCTGGGAATTCCTGCTCGTCCTTCGAAGAGTACCGCCCTTGCTGGCCACGGCGATGTTCATTCCGACCGTTCTTTCGGGGATTATTGCAGCCCTCTTCACGGGTTATACTCTACATCGTCTTAGGCCGCCTATAGTCATGACCATGGCTCTCGTTTTCTTTACGACAGGCATCATCATCCTCGCGACTTGCCCTGTTGAGCAGGTCTACTGGGGTCAGTATTTTGTGGCTGGCATTGTCATGCCTTGGGGGAGTAAGTAACATTGGTAGTTCCTTTTCTACCCATTTTTATTTGTCTTGAGAACCAGTACTCCCCCTCCCGTATTCATCAGGGACTTAATGTTTTCCGCAAATAACTGAGCCCTAAATTCCTTATTAGAAGTAACTAATTCTCGGTATAGTGGACATGAGCTTCCCCGCCGCAACCCTCATCCTCTCCGATGCCGTACCACGAAAGCACCAAGGCATTGCTGCGAGCTTGGTTAATACCGTAGTCAACTACAGCATTTCGTTAGGGCTAGGCTTCGCAGGTACCGTCGAGACGCAAGTCAACAAAGGCGGGCATAACCCGGGGGATATCCTAAAGGGATACCGAGGGGCATACTACATAGGCATCGGGCTTGCGAGTCTAGGCGTGCTTGTGTGTATTGCTTTTATCGCTAAAAGCAAAGACCGAAAAGATACTGCTAGCCAAGACACGCCTTGAAAATTTGGTATAATTAGGATGGCTTTATGCTACGTCACGCACCGCTTACTATCCCCCTTCGATATATTGGCATTTGAGCCAGCAAAGATCCCGCGAGTTATTTTATATAAACCGAATCTGCTTGGTGAACCGTGGGCCATTTTCGTTAATACGTCTTAACACAAAGGCACGTCGGCAATATCGAGAGCAACGTAGGACAACATAGACGATCGAATCCTGTAGAGGTGCTTGGTACTGGGAGGTACCTAGATGGCAATATCTCTTATTTAGGACATGTGATAGACTATGTTGCCTCGTATTTACGTTCATACGATGATCACGATACTTAGAGGTGGCAATACTCGATAGATATGAAGGCGCAAGCGACAGATCGGCTAAGAATAGAAGGATGGACATATATCAGCACAATAGATTCCAGTACACCTAAAAAATATTTCAATGATTATGCAAATAAAAGCCGTTGCAGCTTCTCTCGTATGTATATGCGACCCTAGATCTATGCGAACGAACTATGACAGCCGTATCCGTGGTTTGTAGCAAGCCAACCTCCTTTAGAGCGCAACGTCACCCAGCGCTCAAACGCCCTTTTAATGCATTACGTTGTGTAAAACGTTTGTGGTCACGAACTATATACACTTATAAATCAAGCCGCAATTTTCCAGACACAATTCGGGTTTAGTCGGAGTTGTCATCATTCTCGAACTCTCCAGAATTCTGTACGCTGCGGCCCGCGGCATCTTGACTACGAGTAGCGAAAGATGCGATCGCATTCCATCCTCTACCACCTGTCCGCATCACGAGGTGTGGGTTGATATCTGCCGTGAAGTATCTTTCCCGCCTTGTACTAGCTCGGGCGCCGCCCTCTATTGCCGAGTACGCGCTCCTTGTTGTGCGCATGCGCTTTCTCCCTGGTTGTCCACCTTCGCTGAGAAGACTGCTGCGAGAAAGCCTTTCTTGTTGGAGCCTCTGATCGTATGCCACAATACCGCGTACGTATGGCGCGATATCAAGGCTGATTGTCTTCGTGGTTCCGTCGAATACTGAGGGCTCGAGGTAACCTGCAGCCATATTCTTCTCCGAAGCGGCGATAGGGTCGAAGGCAAGGCTATAATCCAAGCGTACAATGGCCGGTTCCGTATGCAGCAAGTCGCTAAGATATACTTCTAGTTTGGTGGTGACCTGGGCTTCGCCTAACGGTCTACAGACGTCTCTGTTCCCGTCAAACGTCTGGACATCCCTTAACTTGTTTTTACCAAGATCCTTCAAGGCCGTGGACACGTCAAGACCCATCGGGTCGTATCGGACCAAAGGGAATGCCTCAAGTAATTGCCGACCCACAATGAAATCTTCTCTCATCTTTGTCGGAATATGGGGGATCGAGGCGTCCATAGAAACTTGGTTAGGCACATCTGAGAAATCTGACGAGCCTATATCTGCATCGCTCATGAAGCCGGTAAAAGATTCGATTGACTTGAAAAGTTCAAGCCGTTCTTTGGCGGACGACCCTTGCTCGATGGCTATTGTCGCCCTAGAAACGAAATCATCGTATGGGCATGATTCATATACGTCGAAAGACCAGTTACAGAAAGCTTGCTGATGTAGCTCCTCCTGTGCCGAACGAAGTAACGAATTACTAACGGCAGAGTCTCTATTTAACCAACCCATACCGGCTTGGTAAGTGTCCTGGCTGACAACCCGGATGGTATCTCCTCCTTCGTCAACATCACTGCCCTTGGGCCATCTAGGATAAAACCAATTGAAGCCTCCTTGCGCATCTCCAACTCCAATTTGACACCAGTAATTGAGCTCAGTGATTGAAGCGCGGAGATCATGGCCGCGTGAGTCGTAGAGTGTCTCTACCGCGTGTCGTCGGAGGGCATGGCCTTCATTTGCGGCAATCAAAAGCAGCAAGTCGACAGCTAGGTCCTTGGTCGGACTAGAGAAGCGGAAGATGCCATGAAGGTTCAAACTCTGGAGGGGAACCAAGGCCTCGTCGTTGCAGGTCATGACGAAAGGACGTTTGGATTGTAAGATCATAGAGATGACAGTGTTCCAAAATTGTTTGTCCTCTTCATAGAGGACGTCGACTTCTTCCAGCAGGATTAGAGACTGCTTTTGTGTTTTAGAAGGCTTCTTTACTTCCTTTACGCTTGACAAATCTGCCGACTTGGCTGGCTTTTGCACTAGAGCTGGGTTTGGCTTGAAGAAAGCTGTCATGGTGCCTTGTTTGCCAGATTTTAGGTCCCGATCTACCTCGTCTTCGGGGATTACCTCTTCTCGTTGCGAGTCGTTTTTGTGGTGATGCTGAACGAGATGATTCCGTGTCATATCTCCAACCTTCTCTAGGACATCTTTACCATTCCTTCTAGCCCCTGAGTTAATCTCGAATACTTCGAAGTCAAGCTCCTTGGCGATGGCATACACGGTAGCAGTTTTGCCGCAACCGTGTGGGCCGCTGAGAACTACAGCATTAACAAAGCGGCCACCGTCTCGAGAGTCTCGATGAGAACCAGACCGCATCATTGTCTTCTTCGCGTTGCCATGGCTGCCGCTTGCCGACCAGTCTCCTGATGCGTCTGATATCTCGCTAAGTTCATCTGCTTCCTCGTCGCTGAAAACAATGAAACCATCCGATTTTTTCTTTCTCTTGCCTTTACCTTTCGTTGAAGCGATTGCCTTGGGCTTCGTTCCAGAATCTATCGTACCGGTGTCTACGGCCAACACTTTTAGGTTTTCTAGCCAATCGCGTAGTAACTCGGCTTCCCGGCCGCTCTGGAGCACTCGCTCCGCTGATGAGGGTGCATACTTCTGCGCCCAAGAGCTTGTCTCGCAAGTCGACCTATCAAAAGCGGATAAACCTTTCTCTATAGAATTGTAGGCGTGCGTGATTGCCGGGTGTGCCTTTGGATCATCGCCACATGGATGGAGAGTCTTCAACTCGCCAAAAATGCGCGCCTGGAGATTCTTTCCACTTTCGAAATGCCTTCCAGGAATCCGCAAGACCGCAGGAGGAGGATGAAACTCGTTATTGTCGTAAGCCTTTAGTTCTTCAGCCAACTGCTTCAAATTCAAATTCGACACAACCTGATTCAAAATAGATTCCGATTCGCTAATTCGAACTTGCTGCCCTTTCGCCTTTCGTGCCTTCAGAAGGTATTTAGAGGATACATCTTCACAGGTCTCGTAAGGCTGGGGTATGTCACCCCGTACGTGTGCCGCCTCTTTCGACGGCCAGGCCGGATGCTGTGCGCCTGGTACCTTGACATTGTTGCTGTAGCTCATACCGGGAGTCGGGAAGTTGAACTTGGGGGGTGCTGGTCGAAGGTGTTTTGATGAACTGGGTGTCGAGCTAAAAAATACATGTCTTTTGACTTGTGATGTTGTCGTAAGCTTGGAATTTTCCTTCTCTTCTATGGCAGTACTGGGTTTCGGTTTTCCTTGAAAGAACGGGTGGGTGGGCTTGTTAGGTGTTGTATCAATCTTGGATGTGGCGGGCTGAAGTGTCTTCTCTCTTAGTATACATTTGGTAGCACCCTTTTTCTGGGTACTTTCTTCTTGTATGTCTAGGCCGTTGCTAGGCTGCTTATTCGTATCTCGGCTCGAGGGGGGGGTGTTGGGAAGAGCATCTCGTGTAATCTTGAGTTTCGTCCCTTGGGAACCTGCCAAAATCTCGGTGATCCTTTGCGCTATTCTAACTCGGGAGGTATCGTCGCCCTGGCCGTAACGTATCGAAGCCAAGAAAGTCTTGTTTTTCCGACCCCGCTTCGTGTTCTTTTTATTAACAATAGGCTGGGATCTTGGAGGAGAGCCGATAGTTCCAGTTGTGAGATTCAGTTTCAGCACCTTTGGTGGCTTGGATGAGGAATCTGTGCTGTTAGTAAGTATTGTGCTTGCTCAACAGCACACCCTTACTGGGGCCTCTCATACCTAAGGAAGTATCTCTGGCATCGTCAGTGTGCCGATGTTTCCTCTTGCGTTTGCGCTTGCCTGACAGAGGAGTCGAGTCGGTGTTATCATCAACCGATTTAGGACTACAGGAAGGGTCTGGTGTAACAGGAGTTACATTGCTGAACAGATTGTCTTTGAAAGAATTCTTTGGTACCACGAAAAAAGGATGTATTTTCTTATTTTCAGGGTCGACAACATCACCATTTTCAACCATGGTGGCCATGGTGATGGCAATAATGATAGCTGCGACAGAGTGCAACGAGCTACTATCGATAGGGCCGTCGCGTCCGTAGACACGAAGGAAAGGCTCAATAAGCGGTAGCGTACCTAATCATTCTATGAATATACGTTATATAGACGTATGGGTTATAGGTTGTAGGCAGTAGGCAGTAGGTGTAGGTGGAGGTGTAGGTGTAGGTGCTTGAGTGATTACATGTAGATAGAGTGGGTAAGTGAACTTTCTCATTCTTAAATTTACATTAACTAATTAGACTCCAGTAATCGCGTCTAAGCAGTCGCGTTGGACGCGACTTACATCATTGAATTGCTCAATTGAATTTTTGATCCACTAATGCTACCCCACAAAGTACAATGTATGCAGTACTTTAAGTAGTGCCGCTTAATTCTCGGGTCGGTTCTTTTCATATCCAAGCCCGACTTTGCAACTTTTTTATATTTTTTTTTAATCTCCAAGAGGTACATATGAGCAGTTCACACTACAACACAGTCTATTGCTGTCGCCGGTGACAGCCTCTCAATTCTAGTTGCGCCGTTATAAGTAAATATGGCTTCTCACTTTCAAATTCAGAAGCCATACGTGATAGCTACGTTACCCCGGCCCTTCGATCCGACCACAGGTCGCTACGTTGTTAGTGAGGTTTATGGATGCGCACCCGGTTCGAAGAAGAGGAAGCGCCACGAGCTTGCGGTGGGAATTGATGGAGAAGCTATCAATATTTATAATGTAAGAATGCCATAGTATAACTATGCGCTCAAAGTATTAACACTCTATAGGTTTCTTCTGCTAGACTTGTCACTTCATATCCGGTCCCTCCCCAGTCCCTCTTCTCGTGTCCGATAGCTTCCGTTCGGCGCAAAGTAGAAGAAACACAAGAGACTTCAAGATATACGTTCGCAGCCACCAAGGAGTCGCATCAACACAAGATAATCCAATTCAAGGACCACGTGGATGTATCTGACAATATACACTCCACTGCTAGATCAACATTGCTTGATCCAGGCCAACCAGTTATATGTGTTGTTCCTACTCTCGCGCCGGCTGCGCAAGAGCTAGCTGGCTATAATACGTCAGATGATGGGCTTCTTGTTGTGCGCACAGACGGGAAAATCACTTATCTTGACGCCGAAACATTACAGAAGAAATGGGATTCGTCACCCGCATTATTGTATCAGGAGCTTCCGGGAGCTTCAAAAACGGATTTCAGAATTGACTTTTGCTATCCCGTACCGCTATCAGATCTTATTCACGGCATATTCAAGGGCGATGG